CACGATCTGGATACAATTCGGCGTATCTTCTTGCAGCGACGTGATACTCCCCATGGCATTCACCGAGTGCCATCAGCATGTCGTAGTATTCTTCGATAGTGTATCTTGCCATTTCGTCCCGTCGCTTCTGATAATCGGAGGATTATTGATACAGCCGTCGACAGGTTCGCCTAATTTATACGATCGTCGCGGGAGGTCGATCCCCTCCACCCCCCCCCCCCCCGCGACGAATCGGAAAATCGCGTGATCCCGTGCGATGGGGGTGCAAAGAAAAAGAAAAATGAAAGAAGGGAGGGAAAGGAAGATGAAGAGGGACATGGACAGTGGAAGTAAGGAAGAAGTTCGAAGAATATTGTGGGAGGAGAGAGGGAGAGGAAGGATCGGTTGGAGAGGAATGGGAAAGGATAAAGGAGAGAGTATATGATGCGATGAAGAGAGTAGAAAGAGAGTTGGGGGAGATAAAGAGGGTGGTGGGACGAGGAATGCAGAGAAATGAAGGAGAGAGAGAGTAAAGGATGAGTTGAGGAGATGGAAAAAACAAGGGAGGGGACAGAGAGGAATATAGAAAAAGAAAGAGACAGTATAAGAGGATATGTGACGAGAGAAAAAGGAGGGAGAGGGAGGAATGGGAGAGGGAGATAGAGGGGGTGAGAACGGAAAGGCAGGTGTGGAAGGTGGTAAGAAGAGAAAGAGGAGGGAGAAAGGGAGTAGAACAAGGAATCAAGTTAGAGGAGTGGGAAGGGTATTTTAAGGAGCTATTAGAAGGTGTAGAATGGAGAGTGAGAAGGGATGGAGAAAGGTAAAGTGGGGAGAAGACGAGGAAGCTGAGATAAGTAGAAAGGAGGAAGAGGGGGTAATAAAAAGATTGATGGATAGGAAGGCGGCAGGAGGGGATGGGATTGCAAATGAGGTGTCGAAATATGGAGGGGAAGAGGTGAGAAGATGGTTATGGGAGGTATGTAAAAGGGTGTGGAGGGGAGAGGGATGGCCAGAAGAATGTACCGGTATGGAAAAAAGGAAAGGGAAGGAAAGTAGAGAATTATAGTAGGGTGAGTTTAACGCAGACGGCACATAAGGTGTATGCAACAGTGTTGGCGGATAGACTAAGGGAAGAGGTTTTGAGAAAAAATCGCTGTCATATAGTGCCCCGTGTCTCAATGTGCCCCACCTTCCCCTACATTTCTTCATTACATTATGTACCATCACTTCTGAAACACTCTGTATAATGAAAAAGAGGGGCCTCTACCTATGTTTATTGAGACTTTTTGCTTATACTAGTGTGTACATTTCACCATTACATTTTGTAGCATCACTTTTGAAACACCCAGTATAATGAAAAAGTGTCCATGTACGGATTCCGTGAAATTTCAAACAACTATAACTGTTCATGCCTATGCGCATTCGCGGGCCTATTCTTTCTGCGCTTGCGCGGATCTTGGTTAGCGTTTAGTTTCGTGCCTGAGTAACGGAATCTGTTCTGTTCGTTGCATCAGAGCGTCAGCCAGAAAAAGCAAACTGTATTGCCGTAAGACGCCTCGAGCTTAATAAACCACCAAACCTGAAGCAATTGTTATCATTAACATTGGCGCCCGACGTAGGGGCTCCAGGCGATCATCGAGGTAACGCAGAAGCATAGGAAGCATGTCGCCACGAGAGAAAGTCGCCACAACAAAAGGTCAGCAGATCGATACATTATCAGTAATTATACAACATGGAAACAGACACGCGTAAACTAAAACAACGTAGAGCTCACATAAAGGGGCAAGTTACTCGGATAATGCATTTTTTAGAGGCAGGTACTGCCACTAAAGCAGAAGCCCAAAAGTCAGACTGCAAAAACTAGAAGAGTTCTTCAAAAGTTTCGAGGAAGTGCAGGGCATAATTGAAGACAAAGTAGACCTCCCTGAGGAAGAGGAAGAGTCAAGCGAAATAAACGATCCCGAAAGAGAAATATTCGAGCACCTCTATTACAAGGCAGCTACGATAGCTCAAGAAATAATTGGACGACAAGAACGCGAGGCTCAAACACAAACAGCCGCAGAAGCTTCAGGGTAAAATCGAGAAGGAATACCCGAAGTCACACACCGACGACCAAAACTGCCGGAGATAAAGCTCCCAGAGTTCAACGGAGACTACACCCAGTGGTCATTCTTTAAGGATAGCTTCGAGACGACTATTCACAAGGACGATAGTCTGACAGCTGTACAAAAGCACCAATACCTTATCGGATTGCTTCAAGGAGAAGCCCGCAGTGTCATCCTAGGATTCAAGATTTCCAGCGAGAACTACGAAAGCGCCTGGAAATTGTTAAAAGATACGTATGATAACAATACGGTAATTATTCAAAATCATTTAGAAGAGTTATTGAACTTTCCAGAGATAACGAAGGACAATAAATCGGATTCAATGCGACGGTTTATTTGGCACATTCAAACACATGTGTCTGCACTAAGGACGCTATCATTACCAGTCGATTCACGGGACGCCATTTTGATGCATCTAGCAAAGAAGAAGCTAGATTATGGTGAACAAAGGGATTGGCAAAATCTTATAAAGAAGAGAACGCAGGAAAACATGCCTAAATTATCGGAATTCCTTGCATTCTTCACCGAACGATGTCACACAATCAAGGTTCTCGAGCAGGGTCGGACGAAGCCCGTAGACAAGTAATCAAATCGAGGCACGAAAGGGAACGAGCGAAAGGTAGCTTTGGTTTCCGTGACAACTAAGTGCAAAATTTGCGAAGGCGATCATCCAGTTTTCAAGTGCGGCAATTTTCAAGAATTGTCGATAACGGATCGCAAGAAAAAGCTAAAGGAGAAGAAGTTATGTTTTAACTGTCTCGGCTCAGGTCATTTTGTTCGAGAATGTAAGGCCTCGACATGCAAGAAGTGTAACAAAAAACACAACTCAATTATTCACGAAGACGTTGGGGACGAGCAAGGAGACGTTCAAGCAAAGTAAGCCTGCGAGAATTCAACAGAGTCAGTCGTAATGAATTGTACGAAAGCAGGACTCAATTCACAGGTCGAGTTGTCAAATAAACAACAATCATCAATCGCGAAGTTCGATCTTACAACAAATGTTTATTGCGCCAGCCACAACGGGACCAGAGTGGTCTTTCCACTGCAAAGGTTCGCGTATCAGGATCCGACGGTGAAGAGCGGTACTGTCGAGCGCTGCTGGATCGGGATTACAATCAAATTTGGTAACATCCGATTTAATGCGAAGACTTAGGTTGTCATGTCGCAACGATGACTGGCTAACTATAAGGCCATAGGAGGTAACCCGGGGAGGGAGCGGTGGACCGTCATGGTTAGCCGTACTCTCTCGCCCGCGATGAGTGAGGATGACTGTGGCCAACTATATGGCTATAGGCACCACAACGGTGCGACGAGACGTTTCGGTCCATTTTTTGCGTACGGGTGCCGCTATCGAATAGCTCCGGGGTAGCCCCTGCCTGTCGTAAGAGGCGACTAAAAGGGGAGGAGAAAAGGCGGTATAGGACCGAATGGGGGTGGGCACGGGCTGGAGACCCGTGACCCACCCGCCCCCACCAACAAGGGGGCGCGGCGAGGGACCTGGTGGCACCCCCGCTGCAAATCTAAGCGAAGGAGGAAGCTGGCCCTTCTTAGGGCCGGGCTAAAAAAGGAGGAGAACGGCCCTTGTCAGGGCCGGGCCGGAGTCTAAGTACGGCCACGTGGAGCGCGAAGTAACGCGCGACGCAGGGCCACCCGGAAGTAATGTGTCACAGTTCCCGGGTGGCCCCATCAAGCGCAGAGAAGTCCACCCCCGGTGGTTTTAGTGCGGTAGGCGTCTCCGTTGCACTACTGGCCCCATGGGCTGTCAATTGCCCAGGGGCCAGGGAGATGAGTCCCACACACCACCCCTCCCCGTCCCAGCGGGCTGAGGGGTAACGGTCCATGAGGATTTCCACCGGGTAAAAAAAAAGTAGCACCAGTACTCATCGTTGGAAAGATCATCATGCAGAAGATATGGCAGCAGCAAGTGGAATGGGATCAAGAGCTACCGACGAACTTAAGAATAGCTTGGGAAGATTATAACACATCGCTCGCTGGATTGAATGACATAAGGGTACACAGGAATGTCAATATTCGAAACCAAGCGTCGACCTTCGATCTTTATGGGTATGGAGACGCGTCAGAAGCAGCATATGGAGCATGTCTAAATGCAGTCTACAGAGATAAGCAAGGGATAAATCATTCGGAGTTAATCTGTGCAAGAGCGAAGGTGGCACCGCTGAAGACTATATCTTTACCGAGGCTTGAGTCACAAGCCGCCCTCTTGCTAGCGCAACTGTACAACATTGTCAAACGGTCTTGTAGGGACAAAATAAACAAGGTCAGGCTGTGGAGTGACAGTATGATAACGCTCGACTGGATAAAGACACCACCGCATCTACTCAAGACATTTGTAGCCAATCGGGTATCAAAAATTCAGGGTCTTACAGAGGAAGCCACGTGGGCACATGTATCGTCGGAAGAAAACCCGGCCGACCTCTTATCAAGAGGGGTTTCAGCAAATCGTTTAATAGAATAATAATTGTGGTGGAATGGTCCTTGCTGGATAAGAGAAGACAAGCAACCACCCCCTGCAACAGAAAGTCCAGAGATTATATTACCCGATTTGAGATCCTTGCCAGTCAGTCTGATGTTGACTCACACGCGCCAACTTTTAAGAAAGTATTCGTCATACGGTAAACTATGTAGAGTTGTAGCTTATTGTTACAGGTTCTTGGAAAGCTGCAGATCGGGCAGGAAAGCAACGCCACTCACCGCGGAGCTGGAACGAGCAGAGAGGATCATTCTACGATGGGTTCAACAAGAAGCCTTTTCCGTGGAGATTCGATATCTACAAGAAGGCAGACCATTCCCACGAAAAAGTCAGTTACGCGCACTGTCTGCATACATCGATGAGGGAGGTTTGATCCGTGTAGGAGGTAGGCTGCAATACGCGGAGATCAAATCGGAACAGAAAAATCCCATCGTCTTGCCTTTAATACACCATGTCACCAGTATTATTCTACGCGACCGGCACGAACGATTGCTTTACTGTCCACCGGAGCAATTGTTGCACGATGTACGCCAGCGATTTTGGCCAATCAGCGGGAGACGAGAAGTACGTAAGATCATCAAGAAATGTGTAAAATGTTATCGCATCAATCCAACTACAATGGAGATCAAGATGGGTGAGCTTCCTGCCGAGAGAATTCGGAGTGTGGACCGACCATTTACCATCACAGGTATAGACTACGCGGGTCCAATCCAAATTCGAGAAAGCAAACGCAGAGGAAGAATCCATGTCAGCAAAGGATACGTTGCCGTATTTGTTTGTACAAGTACAAAAGCAGTGCACCTAAAGATGGTAACGGATCTATCAACCGACGCATTCATTGCTACTTTACAAAGGTTTATCGCTCGTAGAGGACTGTGCTCTCAAATATTATCGGATAGCGGCACCAACTTTGTGGGAGCAGCTAAGCATCTTAAAGAATTGTACGAGTTCTTGATTAAGGAACAAAAATCAATCGAATCAGAATTGGCGGAACATAGAATAGAGTGGCGCTTCATCCCACCTCGCGCCCCTCACTTTGGAGGATTATGGGAGGCAGCGGTGAAGAGTACCAAGAAACATTTACACACTGTAACAGAAGGACGCGTTCTGACGTATGAGGAGTATAGCACTCTTCTCGCTCAAATAGAAGCTGTGCTTAATTCATGGCCATTAACCCCGCTCTCGAGCGATCTGTCAGATCTTTCTGTTTTGACATCAGCACATTTCCTCATTGGGAGCTCACTTCTGCAACCAGGGCAGAAAAGTCACCTTGATGCTCCAGAAGGCTGTCTATCCAGATGGCAACGAGTTCAAAAATTAAGCCAACTGTTTTGGGAACGATGGAGGACGGAATACTTGCAAGAATTGCAGAAGAGGACCAAATGGACAACTTCCAGCAATAAGGCGAAAGAAGGCGACCTGGTCATAATAAAGGAAGATAATCTCCCCCTCTCCAGTGGCGGTTGGGTCGAATAATGCAAGTACACCCAGGTTCGGATGGTGAAATAAGAGTCGTCACATTACGAACTTCGAGCGGAATATTTAAAAGGCCTGTCAGGAAGCTGTGCTTGCTTCCAATAACGGATTTTCCTGAAGGTTAAAGAGAAGATAAAAGACAATCGACTGCGAATTTCATTTATTAGTTGCCTATTATAATCAGTTCACTAAGTTTATCATTAAGTTAGTTTACGTTGAATATTTTAATTTTATATTCAGATTTATATTGAAAGTTCTTTCAAGGTGGCCGGAAGATGTTCATGCCTATGCGCATTCGCGGGCCTATTCTTTCTGCGCTTGCGCGGATCTTGGTTAGCGTTTAGTTTCGTGCCTGAGTAACGGAATCTGTTCTGTTCGTTGCATCAGAGCGTCAGCCAGAAAAAGCAAACTATATTGCCGTAAGACGCCTCGAGCTTAATAAACCACCAAACCTGAAGCAATTGTTATTATTAACAATAACTCAAGAACTAATCAACCGAATATTAATCAATTATATATGAAATAGGGCTAGAAAAGACTGAAAAGTATAATAGAATTAGAAATAGTCCGAAATCTCAAAATTTGCAAAAGATAGAGCAACCACAGACATTTCTTAAAAAATTCAAGATTTTTTAAAAAATAGACCCATTTACCGATCATCGCAAAAATCAATACCAATCTTCCTTTAGTGATTTCTACATTTAAAAAAAATAAGCCCGATATCTCAAAATTTACGGAAGTTAGAGCAACCACGGACATTCAAATCCGTACATACACACACACACACACACACACGCGCACACGCACAGGGACACACACACGGACACACACGCACACACACACACACACACACATTTTGTAAAAATATGATTTTTAGACGTTTTAAAACATTTTAAACATATTGCCAAAGAAAACTGGAAAAAAATTTTTCACGAAAACAAAGCTTCCTCTATGAGGAAGCAAAAGGAGTAATTTCTCAGTCGCAGTCGTATTTTTTATATTTTATCTATTCATATTGAATTTTTATTACATTTTTGTAATATGTTCATTTATATTTTATTATACTTTTTTCTGTTTTCTACCTTATATATGTAGCAACACAACCTTACACGGAAAAAAATTTCCTGTGACATTCACAGAAATTGTTGGTAAAATAAATTTCTATTTCTAGGGGAGGGTGAGTAGCTGCCCCTACCTGCCCCAACGTAGGTACGCCCACCTGTGTGAAGTTGGCCCCCCAATATTGAAAAATCCAAATTTTCTTTTTGCAAACGTTTGCCCACGAATGCCCCTCTGGAATTTTCGTTTGCCCGCCTATAGTTCAAAAGTTATAGGCAAATTAATTTTAGAGGGGCCAACTTCACACTAGCCCCCCAATATTCAAAAATCCAAATTTTCTTTTTTGCAAACGTTTGCCCATCGTTTGCCCACGAATGCCCCTTTGGAATTTTCGTTTGCCCCCCTATAGTTCAAAAGTTATAGGCAAATTAATTTCAGTGGGATAGACTTTACACTGACCCAATGTAAAAATTCAAAATTTTGTTTTCGCAAATTATTATTAGGCACTAACAACCCGCCACAGATATTATGCACATTGACATAGACAGTTATCTATGTATACAGGGTGTCTGATAAGTTTGTTCTCAACCGAAACATGTAAATTAGGGCAAGCTGAAGAGAAAAATCAGATGATGCAAAATCCACAATAGTTATTGAGTTATTAATTATTACGTCTAAGCGAATGAACGCGCGGAAACAGGCTTCCGACTGTAGGCCGGGCTCGGTGGGCGTAGCGGGCCGCGCGCGCTCGTCACCCGCCGCTCTCCGCTCGCCGCTCGCGCTCGCCGCTCGCGCTCGCCGTTGCCGTTGCCCCTCGCTCCTCGCCCCTCGCCACGGGCTTCTCCTGTAGATCAGATGACAACATTGTCAACCATTTTATACGCCACCATTTGACACCGCGCCGACAAATAATTGTTCCTTCTTTTCAGTGATAGGAAAATGACTTGCTATCATTTCCACACCACCTTGCGGTAGATAGCTTCGTGCGTTTTTTTTATAGTGATCTCCCCGGTAGGCCTAATCCACTCTCATCATTTAATGCATAAATTGTTCAAAATGATGTCCTCCTTCCCGCACGCAAAGTTCAGCTTTTCGAACGATATTCCGCGTGGCACGGTGCGCCATGTCCGGCGTTATGGTATTGAAGGCCGCAACAATTGCTTCACGTACCTCGTTTTGTGTACCATTACGCCGGTTTTCGACTAGACTTTTTATGTGGGCCCCACATAAAAAAACATACCATAACACCGGACATGGCGCACTGTGCCACGCGGAATATCGTTCAAAGAGCTGAATTTTGCGTGCGGGAAGGAGGACATCATTTTGAACAATTTATGCATTAAATGATGAGAGTGGATTAGGCCTACCGGGGAAACCACTATTTAAAAAAACGCACCAAGCTATCTACCGCGAGGTGGTGTGGAAATGATAGCGAGTCATTTTCCTATCACCGAAAGAAGGAACAATTATTTGTCGGCGCGGTGTCAAACGGTGACGTATAAAATGGTTGACAATGTTGTAATCTGATCTACAGGAGAAGCCCCTGGCGAGGGGCGAGGAGCGAGGGGCAACGGCAACGGCGAGCGCGACTAGCGAGCGGTGGATGGTGGGAGACGAGCGGAGAGCGGCGGGTGACGAGCGCGCGCGGCCCGCTACGCCCACCGAGCCCGGCCTACAGTCGGAGCCTGTTTCCGCGCGTTCATTCGCTTAGACGTAATAATTAATAACTCAATAACTATTGTGGATTTTGCATCATGGTATCTGATTTTTCTCTTCAGCTTGCCCTAATCTATCTACATATTTCGGTTGAGAACAAACTTATGAGACACCCTCTATATAGGTTGCTCCGTCACAGACCGGGACGGTTCTTTCGGTTCTTTCGCGACAATCAGCAGAATAAGCGAAACTGCCCTGAGAGACGCATTTTGTTGAATGAAACGAAACCATTTGAGTGAATCATTTTGTTGACTAAATCATTTAGTTGAATATTATAAAAAGGGTTCTGCGTATGTTCACTCAAACACATTTATGTATTGATATAACAAAATTTTCAACAAAATTGTTTTGTTGTATCAACTGAAAGATTTGTCTGCTCGTATCTAAACAAGAAATTCAGTTGAGTCAACTAAATTTTGTTTCATTCAACAAAATTGGTCTCTCAGTGTTTTTCGCCTAAGAAAATATTCTTTTGGGTAATTATATAGAATAACGGACCACCCTCCAATCTCGATGACCTTGACATATGTTGTCAAGGTCATGACCCTGAGTGACCTTCAGCAGGTTTTTGCCGTCGCTCGTGGTTTGTTAAAAAGTTATTAACAAAAAATGTTTAACGAATAGAATATGGTTTCTAATATTTATCTCACCAAATATTAAAAATTTTGAAAAATGTTTTAAACAAAATTTGTAGATCTCTTTGAAATATGCATTTTACGTCCTATCACGAGACACGGTAGTGTCTCGCGCCAAGTGTAAGCGAAGCTAGTACACGCGCGCGAGACCGACCGTGTAAGTTTACGCGAGTACACGACTTGACGGGCCCTCAGATTTTTTTATCTCAACAACGGCTGATCCCACAAACTTGAGACTGCGCTTAATCGATAGCTTGGGTACGATTTGCATTATAAAACTATTTTTACTTTTCTCCTACGTGCCCCATGAGTAGAGATATTGCAATGCGAAGTCCAAGGGTCTGAATTTTCACGTAATTTTTTTTAAGAAACGTCGTCGTCGTCGTCGTCGTCGTGGTCAACCAGGCCAAAGTCCATCTCACTTTTCTGCCGCAACGTGGCATTGGCGCTGCTGTCGCGTATCTCACGTAGCGTCTCGCGCCAAGTTTGAATAAGTCTAGGTGTATTAATATCCGCGTTTCCGCATCCCCGCGCGTCTTTTCCGCGTTTCCGCATCCCCGCACGTCTTTTCCGCGTTTCCGCGTCTCCGCGCGTCTTTTCCGCGTTTCCGCAGCCCCGCGCGTCTTTTCCGCGTTTCCGCGTCTTTGCCCGTATTTTCCGCGTTTCCGCGTTTCTGCGCGTATTTTCCGCATTTCCGCATCCCCGCGCGTCTTTTCCGTGTTTCCACATGTCCGCGCGTCTTTTCCGCGTTTTCGCATCCCC